CCGATCCAGCGCTGACTACTCTCTCCCTCCGATCCAGCGGTGTCTGCATGCGGGTGCACGCGCCCATAGACTTACCTTGCGTCTCTGCTCGTCTCCCGGCCGAGAATCGGAACTGTGCATGCGCCCGCCCCAAGATCCTTTGCGGCCGCCCGAGCAGTTTCGGATGGGAGGGCGCAGCGATAACGAGGTAAGTTTAAACCTAGTTAAAGCGTTTTTTTTTTTACTTCTTCCCTATATCTACTGCTTGCTAGCAGTAGATATAGGCAAAAAAAACGGAGGCTTTAAAACCCCTTGAAAAAAATTAAATCAGGAGATAGTCCATAGTAGGGGTAGACCGATATGGGGTTTTTTTCAAAACCGATACCGATTTTGGGCCACCTTTCAGGCCGATAACAGAATATCAATACCCAATATTGATTAACATCCAGCTGCGGAATCTCGCGCTGGCAGCTGAACATAAACGGTAGGCAGTGGGCCTGATATCGGTCGACCCCTACTGATGGCATTGAAAGGGAGCCTCCGTGTAGCGTAGAGAGACTTGTGTTTGAGGTAATCTGAGGTGAGTAGCACTCTGCAAGCAAGGTGACTGATTGGGTTGGGTGTCCACATTGAATTTGGTGTCCACATAGATTTTGGTTGGACTTGTATATACACTCTGATTTTTCAAGATCTTATGAAAATATATCTGCATTGGGACCATATGATGATTATCTGTTTATAAGAAATTGAGTCAATATTTAACACTGGTACACTTCGGTTTTTTATGCAGGTTTGTGTATATAAGTGTGGCACATACATACATATTAGTGATTTACACTATATTTAGCACTTGCTGCTTTGTTGCATATCAGCGCGAGGTTATAATTTGCAAGGTTATAATTCTGATCTGCTCCCCGCTCTCCATCCTGAGCTCATTTGCCGTGGTCCCGGGTCCCCCACAAGAGCGGGGGACCCTGAAAACCAAAGCGGGGGGCAGACAAGATCGCTGCTCATTTTATACAAGTGATCCGAGATCACTTGTACTAAATGAGCGGCTTCCCTGATCTACATTTAGCTCTAAATGTAGATTTAAAAAAAAACTACCCGCCCGGCACGCGGAATTGCATGTCCCGAGTGCCGGTGATACGAATTTCACATCCCGAAGGGAAAAGTGAAGGTATGCGCATGCACGCACGCACACTCAGGAGACAAGGAATCCTTTAAAGGGCCAGCACCCATGTAGACCAGGGTTACCCGGTGGAAAGATATGGGCCAAGACTCACCCACCAGTAGCATCAGACACCCAACAAGGGGGGAAATGTCACCTTGCCTTTGCTCAATTTGGATAAGCATGCCCCCAAAGGGGTCTTCAAGAATGGGGTCACACCAGTGCAAATATGTTACTGCCCTTGACCCGTATAGCACCCTGTGGCTAACCCAACTACTTCCACATGGCCACAATAAATAAACCCCAGGAATACTGTCACACTAATGAACTCACAAGGAAAATTAGGGGTTGGATAACAGGCTAAGGAAAGCTTATAGACAACACTAACAGCCAAAAAGCTCTTAATTATATAGTGGGTTGAATAATAAAAACTTAGCCAGATCAAATCACAAGACTTCCCAGCTGTAAGAGCCATATGGGATCAGATCACAACACTTCTGAATTGATAGCACCATGTGAAATTTAAAAGTATGGTTGTGGTCATGATGCTAATTAAATGCCCCCTCCTTTTCCTTTAGTGTAAAAATGACAAAGCTAAATCATTTACCCATACTGACAGGTGGCCTTTCCTTGGCCCATCACCACACACATCTCTCCTGCCGCATCCTTGTTTTGGTGCCCTGTGGTACCGTGTTCATTTGGCATTGCTGAAGGAGAGAGGAGGAAGCTAAATTTCTCCCAGCTCTGTCCTTTCATCCAGCAATGAATCAGACAGACTACCTTCATTACTCCAGTCCAGATGAAATGCTAGAAATGAGCATGTTCCAATCAGCATTTAAATAAGTAGAGGATGAGTGTGGCTACTCTCATGGAAATCCTAGTCTCCTTTGTAAAATCTAAGAGTTCAGGTAAGGTTGCTTTTGTCAAATTGGGAAGCCATCATATCCTCCTGACAGGGGAAATTATTATCTTGGCATACCGTATATACTCGAGTATAAGCCGAGATTTTCAGCCCATTTTTTTGTTGTAAAATTAGGTACCTCGGCTTATATTCGGGACGGCTTATACTCGAGTATATACGGTAATTTTCAGTAACAGGGGGAAGCCAGATCCAGACATAGTGAAAATCAACACTTTTTTAAACATAATTATTGCTAAATGTCCCATTGAATGTTAGTAAACAGGTTGAGCCACCAAAAAACACAGATACAGTTACCTTATTAAACAGAAAAAAACATGACGAGAGGATCCCCTGAACCTGGTAACTAGTTTTAGGAGTAAATTCTCTTACACAGTCAATCAAGTTTAACTTTAGATAGACCAGTACACTGTGCATTACATCAGTGAGCTTGTTCAGGTTTTTAATTTTTTTTTCTCTCTACCTTGAGAACAAAATGTATAACTTACTAAAGACAGCAAGAACTAGAACTGTACCATCAGGTGAGATGTGCAAAAGCACCACTAATGTGCATGTTACATTTTACTGTCACAATGTAAACTACCTTTCTTTTTTATCTTCTGCTTTTGTTTCAAATGTTGCATGGTCCTCCTTTGCAGGATCATAATGAAGGGCATTCAGATCTCTAAAAAACAAACAAAAAAAATAAAATTAAAAAAATGTAGTGCCATACGGTAAGTATATTAAGGGAATTCAAAAGATGAACACATTTTTCTAGAAAACGATGCACCTTAACACTTTACAAATCTGCGATTACACAGAGTAGAACATCAGTCAGGACTAAAATGGCTGGTACACTTTGATTAAACTAATTTATGTTTGACTTTTCTTTTTCCAACTGTGAATGTCGGCAGTACCTGCACCGGAGATTGCAAATTCCTTCACAAAAGCAAAGAGCTTCAATGTTCTATTATTGTAATAGAGGGAATGGTGTAGCGTGATCATCAACTACTGGATAAAACTGTATCATGTATGTTGTGGATTAACAATGATCCTATTTTTTTTGTTAATGTTAAAATTTCTTCAAAATAAAAAAAAATAAAGAACTATAAAACGGTATCAGGTAAGATGGCTACAGCAAACAGAAATAATACAATGCTTTGCATTTTTGTAAAGATGTACTAGGAAAGAAAAAGAATGACATTATGCAGCAAATCAGCGATTGGTAGTTGTCTGGGAGGATACTGCTGTATAAAGTATGCAATTAGAAGTTTTTTGGCAGGGAGAAGATAAAGAGTACTGATCAGAGGTGTCAGATGCTCAATACAATTATGTAGGAGAGGTTCTACGGAGAAGCCATTTTATTTTCTGTGGCAGGGCTTCATTCTGGCAAAAGGTCTTCCTGCCTGAGGTAGTTTCGGCAGAACCATGAGCTCCAATAAGCATCTTGGGGTGATTTCAAGTTGCCTGTGAGGGGAGTAAGGAATGACCCAGACAACATTAGCACAGTAATTTCAACTTGCTTTGCTCCCCTGGTGAGTAAATGCTCAGTTGAGTCAAGTGTTCATGTTCCCTGCATTTCCCAACCTTAAAAGCATTACTGTCACCAAAACAGAACCTGTGCATATGAGTGTTCAAAGTAAACCAAAGCGTGGAGTTGGAATTAGTGAGAGAAAAGGGTCTGATGACCTGTGACAGCTTAAGATCTAGGAGACTGCTGTTAGCATGAACTAAGTTATGTCTATCCTCTAAGCAAAAAGAGTTCCTCCTTCATGAAAAAAGAGCGCTGGGCATTAGGGAGATCAGAAAATGCTTTCGAGCAGAGCAGCAACAAGCGAAATGACGCACTGTTGCCCAGGTACAAAATAGGCTCTGTGACAGGCTAGACCTCTGTCACCGTGAGTAAAAGCAGTTTGAGCACAGTTTAGCATGTAAGGAGTCCCTGAACAGGCATGAGGCTGGCAGGGTTGTGGATGGTTGTTATAAGTCACCTAGGTTTCTCACCTATCCTGGGTGACGGACTCCAGGGTTTGTGTCCCCTATGGAGAGAACAAGCTTTTTGTTTTCTCAGAGCTTAGTAAATTCTGTTTTGGGCCCTGGAGCCCGGAGGCCTTGTAGAGTTTTGGGTGGGATTAAGCCTACATTCCTAGGTCCATATTTTAGATGGTAGCCATTCCCCACAGATTTTGCAGCTGTGCAGAGGTTCTTTTGTTTGGGATCTAACTGAGGCTCGGGGCCCCTCCCCAGGAAAGCCGTATTGCAAGTAGGCAGCATGTGTGTGCACAGACACGAGGAGAGTGTCCTAACCTGCACTGACCACACTGACGCATGCGAGAAAAGGTAGTCTGTGTGGAGACAGACTAGATGGTCTAAGTCGACCAAGACTGAGAATTTATCTTATTCTTTGCGATGCTGCAAGGGAAACCTGATACAAGGAACTTTTCTTTTAAATAAAAGTGGGCAAAATAATCACTTAATATGCAAATTGGCAAGTTGACTGAGCCCTTGAAAGCTTTACCTTGGAAGCTAAGTCCCACATAACATGAAGGCATGCAAAGAGCAGAAATGAAGACTGCTGATCTTTGCTAAAAAGTAAATTCTTCAATGGTGAACTGTTTTGTACTATGCTAAAAGGAGCCACTGAAAGACACAGCACTTTATTTGTGACAGGTATGGTGTTCATGTAAGAGTTAAAGAGAAAGCAGCCCTTAAAGTAACAGTGCTACATTTTGCTAGAACTGCACAAGTGTTGCGGACTTTGTGAGTGGTGTGTGTTTCTGCAGGATGGGGCTTTCATAGAAGGCCACTGCTGCAATTAGAAAAAGTCCTGTGGCTTGAGGCAATTTCAGCACCCGGGTAAGCCCCACATGAGCCCAAACAGAATCTGCTAGTTTGGGAGTCTGTGGACAGGTGCAAATGTAATTTGGCAGTGGTGCAGAAAGTAGCTGGTGGCTGTCCTGAGTGCTGTTGCCTGCAGCAAATTGGGTGAAATTAGAGCAGCTGGCTATTTGCTAAGCATGCTGTCTGAGGAGGACTTTAACCTCCCTAAAAAATCTTTGAGCATATTGCTATGAGTGAGGCATGTGATTTCCCAAACTAGCAATATCCTTTTTAAAAGGTTCTTGGGCAACTTACTGAGTCAGAGAGGATGGTAGTGTATAAGGAGCATATTAATGCTCTGGGAGAGCACCAGGTTAAATGTTAGTTAAGGACAAGGCTACCACCATCTCTTAGAAGATCCCTTTAAAAAAATGTGTCCTCTAGAACTTCAGCCAATTGGTCTCTCCGTTAGCTATATACTTCTGTGAATCTTCTTCTGATGGATGGGCACAGAAACACAAGTAAAATAGCCTACATCTCTGTAAGGTGAAGCCAATAGAAATACCTGAAAGTGCGGAACATCTTAGCTCACTTCCTTCGAAAAGGTTTAAAAACATGACCCTTCCAAAAGGAAAAGCGTAAAACAAGCTACTGTTCCACATTAGTGATGGGAAGTTCGGATATTTTACATGAATTGGTTCATTTTGAACTGTTCATTCAAATGAACCCATTCATTAATTGATTCATCGGTTTACTTGGTGAATCTGCTGACAAGGAAGTGAACTGAAGCTCAGGAGCTGACTCAACCTAAAAGGGTTCAAGTATCAATCTAAATGAGGATCTCCTCTCATCCAGACTGTGGGTGTCATCTCTCTGCAAGGCTGTCTGTCCCTTAACACTGCTGCAACCGGACCATTGATTCAGTGTACTGTGTTCTACTGGATGACTCATGCTTCTTTGATTCAGTGTACTGGGTTCTACTGGAGGACTCATGCTTCTTTGATTCAGTGTACTGGGTTCTACTGGAGGACTCATGCTTCTTTGATTCAGTGTACTGGGTTCTACTGGAGGACTCATGCTTCTTTGATTCAGTGTACTGGGTTCTACTGGAGACTCATGATTCAGTGTACTGGTGTACTATTTTACTTTTAACTCAGAACTGTTGTAAGTTCTGATTCTCAGTGTAGTGTTAGCTGGCTGATTGGTTGCAGGGAGGGGCTGAGCTCTCTCACTCTATGATCATATTAGCAGAGCTGCTGTCCTATTGATTCAACACTGAACCCTTTCAAATTAAATGAGTTATCAGTTCAGGCCGATAGCTAATTTCATCCAGTTCACTGAAAAGAATCGATTCAAAAGAACAATTCTTTCATGAACTAGGCATCACTATTCCACACAGTCAGATGCCCTGTTGGACTGTTAGGAGGAGGTAGGATGATGTCAAAGCAGGCGAATCAGTTATGCAGAGGCAACTATAATGTATCTATTCCCTGAGTCTGTACTCAGCAAGAAACTAAAAGTCCCACTGTGGGTGGAGATGGGAAGAGCATATAGCACTTTGCAGCTCTTTCCATCTCCACCCACAGCTCTGCCTATACACACCTCCCACTTCCTCTATTTCACAATGCCTCATGGGAGATCAAGTCCGCTCTCTATGCCAGGATATGACACATGCATTGGTGACCTACATCTTCCCACTGGATGCAGGAAGGACTGATTTAATAATAGGAGGATGTGACATCACTGGCAGCTAGAAACGAGGATTATAAGAAAAGTAAGAACTTTTATGATAAATTGTTACAGCAGTTTGCTTCTTCTTGTGGTGGTGTGAATGGGTCCTAAAAAGGAGAAGTCTAATAAAAAGTAGAGTAAATGTGGTGCATGTATCCGACTCACATTTTTTCTGTTGCGCTCTCCTTACTTTATTAATTAGCTATCCTGCATTCCGCAGTTCAGCCAGTCAATCTAAAAAAGGTTTTTAGGTACGAAGATTTGAGGGCAGAAGAAAAGAGCACAGTGGAAATCACAGCAGTGTGAAGATGCTCTGTAGTCATCCAATATAGAAAGCAAGCGACACATCGGCAATAGTGAATATTGGCGTTACCATTATGGCTATTCAGTCTGAATAATACGAATGGTTTAACAGAGTTGCAAATTTGGAAAATAAAACAGATCACATTCTAACTTAGTTGTTTGGCTAAAGTTCTGCTTAAAAGGAGAACTATGGAGTCAGGGCTTTTCCCCATAGTTCTCCTATGGGTCACGGGAGAACACAAACTAGCGTTCTCCCGTGACCCAAAGCTCAGTATACCACGAGCTGAGACCCCGCAGCCTGGACGGATCCCGACAACACTGTCTGGATCCACCCAGCTGCGGGATTGACAGCTGGCTCTGCCTATCCAGAGGCAGAGCCAGCTGTGCCCTCCCCCGTCCGTTTCGCCAGTCAGCGCTGGAGGATCGGACAGGGGAGGGGGGAGGAATCCCTGCAGGGAGCCGTGAGTGACAGTCACAGCTTTTTGCAGAAATAGATCGAGAAGTGAGCGAGCGACGGTATGTGTTCGCTCACTGGCCGATCTACTGAGGCGACCTGTGACAGTTTCATTGCCACAGGTCGGCTCAGATTATGAGGCCGAGTGAGAGTCACTCACCTCATAATTCTCCTTTAAGTTGATTTACAATAAATAACTTGTGACTTACTTGAATTTTTTGCCTTTAGCTGCCTTTTTGCTTGCAGACTCTGGCTCCACATCAATGTTCATGATACTTTGCAGGATGCCAAGGTTTTTCTTCTTTTCAGCAGATAGGTCATGCTCCTCATCTACCTTTGATTGATTTGCCTCTGTAAGAACCAAAATCAAATGTTTACTGTAACAATTCTATATTAATTCAAAGTAAACCCACGTTCAGCAAGGAAAGTTACAAGACAGTGTCATATTTATTAGAATCATGAACAATTAGTTACTGAGGCTTTCAGTCCGGTGCCCGAGATACAGCACAAATCAGTCCTCTAACCTCATGCCTCCTCGGAGCAGACTGTGCATTGCTGAGGCTCATTGGATGCCTTGAATGGCTAACTCACCACCTTTTGTTCCACCTGTGTAAGCGAGACAAGTAACCTACCTATTTTTGGCTCTACTGCCTGTTTCTGTTGTAACACCAATTGCGCTCTGTAAACAGTTTCTCCTAGGAGAGGCGAGCACTCAGTCCTTAGTGGTGTCCTGGCCTGGTTAATTTTTAATGTATCAATGGACACCTTGAGCTATATTCATCAATACTGAGCAACATCTTATTGAGACGACTGCCAAGTAACAAATTATTATTTTTACACAAGATCTATATAGCATAAACAGTTTGCGTAGCATATTGATGTCTCTACAAATATCTACAGATTCTTCATTCTCCACTCAGTTGGTGTATTTTTTAATATTTGCCGTTTCCTGAGCTACGTGGAGCATAAAGAAGGATCTGCTAACTGACCGAGGAAAAAAGCGAAGTCTGTAACAACTTTTACAATTTTTCTTTTATTGTTTAAAAACTTTACTCAAGGGCATGGTTGCCCCAATGTTTTTCAATCATTGATTGTTTGTGCTCTCTTGTGGCCCTAGTGAACACTGTTGGCTCATAATCAGATCACCTTCTTTGGAGGAAATTTTAGGTCTATGGGTTATTTGCTTGTATTATGGTGAAGAAAAAAAAAAATGTTGTTTGACTATTGATTGGCATTACCTATTCTGTATCATGGGCTAAATTAAATATGGTACTACGCCACCTTAAGCGCCTAAAACCAAGACATGCCTCCCGCCACAGGAGACGCATCTCCCAGAAGTTGATCTCAAAAGAATGTTAAAAATGTGGGATGGGACAAAGGTGGTGTTCTTTTACACAAGTCTCTGTCATACGGTATACTTGTATCTAGCATTGTAGACACTAAGGACAGGGCACAGAGTTAGAATTTGCAGCAGTGTTCAACTCAAAGCATTTTGCATATACATTTTCTACTTCCCTAGTGCCTTCATACATGCTTACTTCCAAGAGGTCAGTTCTTGGATATTACAAGATAATGCTCATAATAAGATAATAAAAGGTGAATTCAATTGTGTGATGAATGTGGATGAAGACAGAAAATGGGACTTCCGGTTCCAGCGCCTGATGTAGCGGCAGCAGACTTGAGCTCCCGCGCGCCCAGGGCTATACTTGATATAAAATCATACACCGGCACGCCGAAAGCTACCCATAGCCTTCTGGAACACCTTACTCTCGTCGGTGACGATCCCCATGGATAAATTCCTGGCGAGGCGACGCTCTACACCCCGTGGTAAAGGCACCCCGAATCGCGGCAAAAGACCGCCGCTCTCCAAGATGGCTGACGCCTCTGGGAGACGGGACATCAGCGCTTCATCCGACGAGGACGGGCCGGCGCAATCCGAGCATGGTCTGATCGCAGCTGAAGTGGCAAAGCTGCTGAAACCGACCATCCAGGATGTAGTGCAAAAAGCGGTCGCCAAAGGCATACAATCACTGCGACACGACTTACTTAATCAGGCCCAGAGGATCTCGGAGGCAGAACACCGCATAGTGCTATTAGAAGAGGGTACCGAGTCCTCCTCCTCGCAGCTCCACTCTGCTAAACGAAACATCCAACACCTTTTGGATCGGGTTGAGGACTTGGAAAATCGTTCCAGGCGGAACAATCTACGCATTATTGGACTCCCGGAATCCTACCACTCCTCTATGTTGCCAACTATATGTGCCCACAACATTCCGGACCTGTTGGGCCTTCCCGCCCCCTGCAAAGTGGAGAGGGCCCACCGAGTAGGCCCCAATACTCCTGACCGAAAAACACCTCGACCGGTCATTGTACGTTTCCTAGATTACAATGACCGCCTAGCCGTCCTTCAAGCCTTTAGATCCAAGAAGGACCTTCATCTGGATGGCAACCGTCTTCTCATTTTCGCTGATTACTCGGCCGAGGTAACAAGGAAGCGGAAGGCGTTCGGGAAGGCCTGCTCCCTTTTGTTTCATAGGAAAGTCCGATTCACTCTAGCTTACCCGGCCAATCTTCGCTTTCAGTCTCCGGATGGAATCCAGCGCTCCTTTCAAGACCCGGATGAGGCACTCATCTTCCTGGACAACATGAACAACAGAGCCTCGATTGCCCCGGAATTACCATCTCCTAGGCCCCAACGCCCGGCTACTCCTGCCAGAAGACCAGCGACCCGCCTCCCCATGACTCCATCGGATTCGCCTTAATTGTACACCCGCGCTCTACTTCTTGCTGGATGCATCCAGCGCGCACTTACCTGCCCTTTCTACGGGATATCCACCATCCCACCAGGCTTTTCGGCTGCTCCTTAGACCCACTTGACTCGTAACCCATCAGCTCATCCGGAAAATGGACCGGGGCAACTGTGAGTACATACGACCTTCCCATTGCAGTATGTTCGCCCCCCACAAAAAGAGACTCAGACTTACCTTTGATTAGAATTACGGTTATGTTTCACACGCCCTACTTTTATTTTATTTTATTTTATTTTATTTATTTCATCTTTAACTTTATTTTAGTTTCTCATGCCAGCTTTGATTATATTTTTCACCGTCTGATTGTATTTCCTGTCTGTACTCACGCAGCCTAGGCTGGGCCCCTGCAGCCTGTGGTTCACAGGAACATGCCCTGGGTCAGCGGAGCACCCATCCAAGCTCTGCAACGCTCTCTAGGAAGAAAGCGAAGTCACGTACTGATTGCTCACGGTTTTTGTTTTTTATTTTTTTTATGTTATTGGTTCCACTATTGCATATTGTCTGGCCCTGCTGGCCTCACAACCATTGTCCCTGTTTGTTATAGCAGACCTCAGGTGCCCTCCTTTGCCACACGAGGGAACCCCCTCCTTCGCTCCTCCCATGTGCTCTGCCTCCTTGTAAAACACCCTACATGCCAGTGCACTCAGCTGTCCTCAATTTTCTCTCTGCTAAGCATTTATGCACCTTTGGCCAAAATTATGTCAGACATCTTTGTTCGTACAATCCTCATTATAGCATTGTGTGTTCCTTATAAGTACATGAATATGCCCCTATGTCCCAAACGATTCGAGTGATCTCCTGGAACGCTAATGGCCTCCGCTCACCCGCTAAGCGCATGATGGTGCTTAGACACCTTAATAAATTCAAACCCGACATAGTCCTACTGCAGGAGACGCATCTTCCTCAGCAAGATGTGGCCCGGTTACGCAAACTGTGGGTGGAAGAGGTTGTGAGCTCCCCTGCAGTAGGGAGAAAAGCAGGAGTAGCCATATTGTTCCACAAATCTCTCAACTATACCATACTGCACACGGACACAGACCCGGAAGGCCGTAAGCTGATGGTGAAAGTTAAAATCCACGACAAAATATTTTCCATATATAACTTTTATTTTCCGAACTCGCCTACAGCTACATTCTTCCAGGAAACCATTACATGGATCCTCCGGGATACTAATCCACACAAGTTCCTGGGAGGAGATTTTAATGCGGTTATGGTGACTGACGAAGATAGATCGGGAGGGATTTGCCATCACTTAAGACTCACCCCTCACCCGACCTACGAACTTGGCCCAATTGTCCACAGCACTAGACCTAGTTGATGTATGGAGGGTCCGCAACCCACTGGAAAAGGAATATACTCACTTCTCGGGTGTCCACAAATCATTCGCCAGAATAGACTATTTTCTGGCGTCGGACTTGGTGGATGCTCTGGTTGACGAAGCCCGTTTGTTGCCCATAGCCATATCAGACCACGCCCCCATACTCCTCCAAATACACTCCTCTCTCCCTAAGGGAGATGCGTTTATATGGCGCTTCCCCTCTCACATGTACAAAGATCCCTCCTTTAAGTCATTCCTGTCGGATGCTTGGTGTGAATTTCAATCATTCCATGATCAATCTGCCCACAACCTGACTCTTCTCTGGGAGACCGCAAAGGCGGTTCTCAGAGGCAGAAGTATGTCTTATGTAGGTGCCAAGTATACCAAAGCTCGATTTCTTAAAGCTAGCTTCTCTCTTCGCCAAGCCCAGCTAGCGTTCTCACTACACCCCTCGCCGGGAAACAGTACGGCTTGGAAGGAGGCCAAGCAAGACTTTGAGCTTTGGTCTGCCCAAAGACAGGCATTCTACCAGACTCAGTCACAATTACACTTTCATAAATTATGGAACAAGCCAGGCAAACTGATGGCCAATTTGACTAAACCAAGGTCTCTTAAATCCCACATCTCCTCCTTAAGATCAAAGGAGGGTATCCTTGCCACTGACCCCAAGAGCATTAATGACATTCTGCAGGACTTCTATGCTGGACTATATTCCCCATCCCCGACTGACACTACCCTGGGTGATGCCTTTCTGTCCTCAACGGCCCTCCCGACAATTTCAGAAGCAGACCTTTTATGTCTTAATGCAGACATAACACAGGAGGAAGTTACACAGGCCATCAAACACACAGCCAACGGAAAGTCACCGGGTCCTGATGGGTACACTTACGAATTCTACAAACTCTTGCAAGACCAGGTGACTCCTACACTATGTGATGTTTATAACACCATATGGCAGGGAGGAGCATACCTCAACACGGGGCGGGAGGCATACATTAAAGTAATCCCAAAGAAGGACAGGGACCCCACTCTCCCGGACTCTTACCGCCCAATATCTCTCATTAATACTGACGCCAAGCTACTCTCCAAAATTGTTGCGGACCGGCTAGCCAAAATTCTACCACAT